AGATTCAATACTGTGGGCTTTTCTAGAGCAGAAGAGGTCAGCTTTGGTTTGTTTTGTTATGTGCTCTACATGCACAAACAAGACATTGTGTTATAGCCATGCAATATCCTCTTATCCAAGTGGCCAGAGATTGGAAACTGCATGCTGCTGAGTTGCCAGTGTGTTTGAGCATTCCACTTTCTCTGGCCTACACAGCAGGGCTGGTTTGGCACAACAGCCCTTCGGCAGGAAAAAGGGTGTATGAGTGGGTGGCTTTGGAAGAGCAAAGCACATCTGAATAAGAAGCTGAAGGTCTGCATGTGGTAGTWTATATAAATATGTGTGTGAGGAAAAAAATATGAGATTCAGTTGGCAGAATCCCTTAAAATGTATTTTACAAGATAAAATCACACACAACAATTAAAAAATACAATTTGAAGTCAATACATTTAAGCTAAATACATTTTTAAAAAGCTGATCAGATTTTTAACACTTTTTTATAACAAACACCTGTGTGCTAATAATAAAATTTTCCTTGTGAACTACACACTCAACATTAAGTTTTACCACTTGTATGGTGCAATTCCCTTTATTTTTCAAGCAGAGATCTTGTAATACATTAATGCTGAAATGAAACATTCAGCATTCAGTTTTCAATATGTTTAATCTGAAAGTAAATATTTTTTTCTTAATTTGATTCCCCTTGTTATTAGGCCTTAATTCACTATAGCTTTATAGAGTGCATAATCAAAGCTTTTATTGTTTAGTACGAGATCAGATTGCATTAAACTCCTGCTAAGACACTGTGCAGTTCTAATAAAAAAAGACTTCAGTTACACAAGTACACAAAACGTTGTAAAAAAGGAGGCTTACCAGTGTCCTAGCAACCTAACACACCTGAAACTTCCCTTCCACTCAATAAAAACGTAACAAATAGAGCAAATAAGTGAGATTCTAATCAGAGGAAATAATTTGTGTCAAATGAACACCTCCAGAGTAAACACGGTGCTCTTCCTCTCTAGTTTCTCATGTTTATTTAATTACTTTTCACACTGGATGACAACTTTGTCCAACATAAAATAATCAACCAGAACATGGATGACACATAAAATCATTTGAACCTTTTACAAAGCAAACACTCTGAAATCTCATTGAGGTTTCATTTTATTTTCATTCTATTCAAAGAGCTCCTCAGTGAAAGAAGAAATTCTACAGAAACTGTTTAGAACAACAATGGTCTTGACGAGCATTAGGAAAGTAGAAAACTCCACATTATCTGCCATACAGTAGAACAGGTTGTGAAAGGGATTTGAGCATGCACACAATATGCATTGCAAGGCCGTGATGTGATGCCTGTGAGCATCAGCACGGCTAAGTTTGTTGAGAATTTGAAGGAAGTACTGCTCTAGTCGGCCTCGTGTCGATGCCACACCACCCTGCAGTCCATTAATGGAAGTGGCAAACCTAATTGGTGAGTAACTGTGGTGTAGCCATGTTGTGAATACCTTCACAGGGAAGGAGACTTTCCAAATTTCCTGACACACAGTTACAATTAAATTAAATCTAATAGGCTGTGGAGAATATGACTGGAGCATATTCCAGTGTGGAGAGATGCCTTACATCAGTCCCACCTACTACCCACTGTGTCATCATATAAATCATATRTGCAACATGTAGTTCACTGATTTTACTTCTATTTTTGAACTTGTGCTTTCTCCAGTTTTTGGATGTTTATTAACAAATGTGTTTTATTATTTTCATCTGTACTAACTAAACATGCATTGCATGGCATAATTTCCCGTCTGCTTTTTAAATGGGACACATGCTTTTAAATCAGTTCTTTTGCCATTTAAATCATTCAGTAGTTGTCTATAAGTGGAACTGCAAAGCTACGTCCTGAATCCCTCATTACAGTAGCGCCACAGCTTCTGTTCAGAGGTGCGTTTGGGAGCAACTAGATTTGGTGCTGTCTCTATAAATGCAAATGAGGCACTTCACATCCCGCCCCAACTCCAGGTACAGAGACTTTTTATTTATAAACTGATTGAAAGATGTCAACAAAGTAAGACTTGTCCATCTAACCTTACATGTTTGAGCCAGAATCTGACCCAGAGGAAGAGGAGAATGATAATGACAAATGTGAAAAACTTCAGATTGGCTAAATTGGTAAGCTAGAAGGCTATGACCTTATTTGGAAGTTCCACAGAAAATAATGTGATGTTATTGTTCAAAAATATCTAGAGAATAAAGGAAACTGAAAAGACTGGAAATATGACATATATGCTGCAACACGGAGAGACTAAATTAAACTTGTCTGCACTCTGCCTAATAGGCAATTACTAATTTATTGTTCTTATATTTGATAAAACTGAGCTTCTTCTGCAAATTCTGGAAATATTTATACCATGAGAATCCAAGAAACTTTCTTGAATGTCACTTTAAATTAATCTGTAAAATCCCAGGTAAATGCATTAATGTTACAGTCTTTCCTCTTTTAAGCATTTCCTCTTATTAATACATGACAAGACCTTTCAATCAAACTTAAGAAAAAAACCAACTTTTAATGAACATAAGTATTTGTAATAAGTAATGCTATTATTGCTACTGATGCATTTAAAGGTGAAGTTTCAACATGCAGATTTCCAGAAATCCTGTTTTTTTTCCAGTTAGCATTTTTCATGAAAGCTAAAATGGTGATTTAAATAAAACTTACATGCTGCAGTGCAGTAATATTAAGCTCCAGCTCAGTCTAGGCTTGCTGATGGATTTGTTACATGCAGTAGGTCAACCTTGAAACAAGTTAATTAGAGCTCTAAATATATACAGCCTGGCTCTAATTACATGCTGCACATGGATCCCACTAACAACTCAACTAGCCTAATCCTAAATTTTACGACCCAATAACCGAACACAGGCACACGAACACAGAATAAAAAGACAGCAAAGGTGTTAAAATAAACAAACAAAACAAAACACCACCCAAAAAATATCAATTAAACTGCAAACCTGTCCACAATATGCACCCAAACAGCAATGCACAAACAACGCACCCGTCTCGTTTTGGCAGACCTCACTTCCCACACATAGTACTTTGGCGGTGATAGAACAGCAGAGAGGGAGGACCAGTGCAAAGAAAAAAGGTAGCGAGAGAGACAAGGAGGTGTGAGCCTAACAGATTAAGATCCTAAATATAACAAAACCTACAACACTTTTTCTCCTCTTGTTTTATCTGTCACTAATTCCTGCTGTTCATTAAACTTTTATTGTTCTTAAAGAACAAGATTATTACTGCAGAAACAAAGCAGTTTTTTTTTACTTTATCTCTACGGCTACTAACTACCAAGCTCTGTTCACACCTGTACTCTATGTATATATTTAGTGAGTAACAGAACTGTGAATGTAACAGGAAGTACTTAACCCTTAGCCCCACATTGACAATGGATGAGAGCCTTGCTACCCTTATCACAACCAACATGGCTGGATTGTAGCAAACTTACAAGAATGTCCTTCAGTGTGAGAGCAATCTCGGCTCTCTGTCCTCGCAAATGTTTTTGTGTTTTTTCCTGTGTCCCTGAGATGTTCTCCTGTGCCCTCACCATGTTTTTTTACACCTGCCCTGCCATGCCTATTACAGTCTTAGGATGCAGCTACATGCTAGAAGATCACACCATGCAAGCACAATGTTACTGCCTTGAGTATTACATCTAAACTAAGTTGATGCCATGACCTTGTTCCGATCACAGTTGCAGCCTTGAAATGAGGCCAACGTGTCCAATTTTGCTTCAGACTCTGACAACCAAAGGGGGGTCCAGTGTGAAGGGAGCCTTAGGCAAAGCCAAGTTAAAACACAAAGGGAATTAAACTTGAAATCAATATTTATTCTAGCAACGACTCTCAGTATGAAAATCTGAGTGAAAGTTTATTTGCATTGACCTCTGTCTAACTTAATAACATGTAACCACATTTAGGTTGGGGTGTCTTTGTATCACCGATAAAATATGCTATTTTCTTTAAAGTTTCTTTTCTTTCTTTCAGGCCAAAAACACTTTAGACAGTGGTGCAGACATTAAGTCATACATCTTTGTCAAGTATCTAGTTCAACACAAATATAGGTGAGGAGTGTGATAAAATGTGGGACCACGTGGTTTCTGTCCAGCAGCAAAGCAAGACTAATAAGTCATGTGCTTGTTTCTATTTTCAGTAGACATGTTATCTAACATCTGGTTATTTATGGCAKAAGATGTTATAGTGTCAACAGAGAAACAAATGTATAACCCATATAATCGATAGTGTGGTGCAGTGACTTCACAGAAAGAAGGGATAGCCACTCATTCTGGTTTGATTACAGCCATTCAGAAACCTTTTGGCAGCAGATGATTACTACAAATGATCAGATTCGAACAAGGTTGGGCAGAAGAACAATATTTGAAATATAGAAAAATAAATCTCTTCCATTTTCTAGGAGAGTATTTGCCGAATGACCAACATCTCATCAATCAGACTGTCACAGTTGCTCATGACCCTGAATTGATTTGAGGAGAAAATATAAAGACTTTGTTACTGACACTGATRAACTAAACTCTATCTAGTTTTAACTTTCTTAGATTTTTTACCCCCTCAGCATTATTCCCTCTTTTCTCTATTTCATTTTTATTTGTCTGGCATCTCCTCACTAGAATCCTTGATTTCTCACTTCATTTAAGATATAGTCTTAAGCTTCACTTTGAAGTGATTTGTGCATAAAGTCACATCATGCTGTCAAGTCTGGCTGAGGTGGAGTCTGGATTTATAAGAAAAATCAAAACATATAAGTGATTTAAGGACCAGTAAGTGCACAGTTCTTTATGCAGTGAAGAAATTTATCTCTGTCGTCTAACAGACTTCCKGGTCTGGTTTATCCTTCACTTACCTTCTCAAGAAATACGACATAAAAACAGTAACGATGATCTGCCATGGTCAAACTAAACTACTTTGGACTAAAGGCAAATGAGACATGTTTGTGGGCTTCAGGCGTTTCATACCTATGGCCATGAAATCCTCATGATCCCAGGTTTGCAGCTGGGCGAGCGGGCCACTGTACAGCAGCAGTCCATCAACCACGTCTGTGATGAACTCCAACGACACATGGCTCTCAAAGCAAGGCATCATAGGAGGAAACCAGGCATAGCCATTGCCATGGAAACTGTGCTTGTTCTGTTGGCATTCAGGTCCCTCAAACTGAGCTGGGCACTGGCACCTTACAAAGAAGAGAGAGAGAGAAAAATAGATGCATTTACATGTGAAAAGTTTTACTGGAAGTAATAAATATATTAATTAGATTCTAGTGCCATATCCAGAAAAYTATGCCACCTAAAAACATTTTCTTCCTCACACACTTTGAACCACATTTAGCTTTTTTACTATTATTATTTTTTTTCCAGAATTTTTGCAGCATGTTAGCAGTCAGCATCTTTAAGTCAAGTTATTTTCCCCTTTCAGGCAACATTCCCCTTTCGGCTATCACTCGCACTCTGCATGTTTCACAGATGCAGATGTTCTCATTAGTGGCAGAACCACAGGGGGGGAATCACTTCATCACTAGGAAACCCTCTCTTTCTGTATTTTCACATATTCAAGTCCTCATTTGTACTGTTGCTTCCTGTCAAAACTGCACTTCTCACCTCGTTTCCTCAGGATGATTTCACACTCTTTTTTTAGTCCTCATTTTAGTCCACCTATTCTAACCTTTCACACTGATAGACCTTTTTGAGATAAGCATTTCTTTTTGCTCATTTAGCAGATGTCTTGATTGCCAGATAAATTAAAATCTGTTGAATAGATGAAATTACACTGAAAAAAAAAAACAGAAAACAAGACATGGAGCATGTAGACAAAGCTTAAACATTAAATTAACTGTAAATAATTCAAAACAGGCTGCATAAATCGAACTGTACAGTCTGTGGTTCATAGTGWAGAAAAACAAGAAGAAGACAAAACAGGGATAGAGAGTACATGAGCAATACCCAAAAAATTTTTTGTCACATTAAACTAAAAGAAAGAACATAAGAATGCAACTTCTTGTTAGTAATAAGCTTGTTAAATATACCAATAAAAAGTCTTTTGTTGAACTGTCATGCATTGAACAAGCTTCATCTTTGAAATACAGCCTTTGTATATGACTGAATTTCAGAACCATTGGTCACTTATTATTGGCTTAAATAAAATGTGTTTCTGAAGGTGACTGGGTAAAAAAATATGTACTAAACGACTGTAAAAGAAAAGATCAGAAAGCAATCTAACATACTTTAGAAAGGCTAGAATAGCAGTGACTGCACATGTCAGTAGTTCTTGTTGGGGAAGTTATGAAACTTCTCTTTTTTTCTTTCTTTCCTTTTTTTTTTTTTTTTTGGACAGCATATACTTCAGCAGTTGAAACCAAAAGAGATTTTTACAAATCTAAAAAAAGTCACTTTGTATGAATCTTCCTGTGTTTTGAAATATCTCAGTGTCAGTGTGGTGGAAATGTGTTTCACACATTCTAACATAGTTCATAGTAAAAATTGTCAGATTCCTTACATCATCTCCATCAAGCTTTACTTTCAACTCATGCTGCGTTCACCTTTTCTAAATGTGTGTCAAATCAAAACCATWTAGCTCTCTTTTCTTCTGTTGCTTGGGAGCAAAGCAGTTGCTTTAAAGCTCACTTAAGACAGACAGTCGTTAGATATATTCTGCTTGCATTTTGTTAA